TTATTAAAAAAACCAGCGTGGCATCTGACTCAGCAAAATTCCGTGAAAGCACATCCCCAGGGATGCGTTTTACTCGCGTGGCATCCCAGCCAGCTAAAACCCAAGTAAAGTGCGTCCCCAGGTAAAGCGCGTCCCCAGGGATGCGCCTTTGTGTCACCTCAGCTGAAAGAGTGTTGCTTCGGGAAATATTGGTCAAACGGTGTTAAACCGAGCATATTAGGTTCAAACAGTGTTAGTTAGGTCAAATCGCCCAAAGTTACAGCATCTCCATCGTCGTCTTCACTGACACTGAAAGCAAGTATATTAGCAAGTGATACAACATCCGGAATATCCTCAGCCACAACACTTTATTCCTCAAGCATTGCAACATTAGAAACAACAGATTATCAATAGCAATCATACAATCACAATAATGTCGATAAATAATATCAAAACTTATACGGATGATTTTTTACAATAATGCAGTCGAAAAAAATTATTCGAATAATGTACCTGAAAGATTATTTGCTCGAATAGGAGAATACTACAGTACACATTGGAGTTGTGATGGGCTCCCCGCGTCTCCCCAAGATCGTATGGAACACTATGTGACTCCCCCTCCTGGACCACCATGCATCTTTCCCTAAGTTTTTTTTTTGCAATAATATAGGCTTTTTACTTTGTTATATATAATATATATAGGCTGATTTTTTACTTTGTTATATATATTTGAATTTATTATAGGGGAAAGACGCATGGTGGTCGGGGAGGAGAGAGTCGCATGGTGTTCCATGCGACATTGGGGAGACGCGGGGAGCGCAGTGCAACTCTGATGTGTACTGTAGCATTCACCCCACTTGAGTAAATAATTTCTCAGGTGCACTATTCGAACAATTTTTTTTTGACTGCGTTATTGCAAAAAACCACCCAACTTATAATCTCTCTATCCGATTAAGTATATCCCTTTTGTGTTTTAAAATTATTTCATTGAAAAAATCAACTACTTTTACTATACACATTTCCTTTTCTACATTTTTTTAGTTTCTAGATGAAATAAAATTTAATTTTTCTAGGATAAAATTGTCATTTTACTTTTTTTTACAACACATCCCTTACATAAACTTTTCCTTCTTAAAACTACATGAAAAATCAACAATGAACAATGTAAATGAGACGGAGGGAGTAATATTGTTGACGGTAAGGTTTAGGGTTATAACGAAAAGAGATATTTTACCATTTCTAATTTAAATAAAGATCGATAGACGATAATTTCAGGAAATGTGACGTGACGTGGGATGTTGCTTAAAGAGAGAATCTATTCAAAGTCTTATATGAAAGATTTATATAAGACATAATTATAAAATAAGTGTCCAAACTATAACTTTTTCATGAATAGGTGTCTAAATTATTTTTTGAATGATCTCGTTGTTTAACGTTATAAACATTACCACTTTATATGGTCGAACTGTCAGCGACATTAATTTCATCCGTTAAGTGACACGTGTCACAATTCGATAATTTTAAAAAATTTATTTAAAGTTAAAAAATTAAAATTATATTTAGGGTAAATTACAACATTCCTCATTAAACTTTACTCTCTCTTACTTTGCTCATCGTACTTTCAATTTTTCTATTTTGCTCACTGTACTTTACAGTTTGAATCATTTTGCTCACTTTGTCGTTAACTTTTTAACAGTGTTATGACATGGCACAAGCATCAAAACGACATTATTTTGAAAAACTCAAATATACACCAAAGCAATGTCGTTTCAAATCTTCTTCTTTATCCCCATTGTCGTCGTCGACCACTGTGCTATTTTGCATTCCAACAATTGTCGACCGTCGTTGATAGTGGTCATTTGGTCCCAAAATTCATGGATCAATTTCGTCTCGACCCCTTGAGCCTGAATCTGGTGGTTGTTTCACCAAAAAATGTCCCAAAATCCATGAATCTCGACTGAAATGTTTTAGCTTTCTCACTTTAATCTCTTATTCGTGGACTTCAGAGCTAGTTTTGGTCAAATGTAGGTCAGATTTGGACTCAAGGTGTCGAGACGAAGTGACCCATGAAATTTGGGACTGGACGGTCACTATCTACGACATCGACAGTGGTTGGTGGTGGCATTCGACCACCTTCTGTTTTTATTTTATAGTTGGGTGAGCAAAATAGAAGAGAGAGTAAAGTTCAATGAGGAAAGGTGTAATTTACCATTTATATTTTCAATTATTTTATATTAAATAATAATAATAAATGACATGTCATCACACTGTTAGAGAGTTAACGGCAGAGTGAGCAAAATGATTCAATCTGCAAAGTTCAATGGGTAAAATAGAAAAATTGAAAGTATATAGAGCAAAATAGAAGAGAGAGTCAAATTTAGTGAAGAACGATGTAATTTACCCTTATATTTAAAAAACACATAAAATTCAAAATAACTATAAAATTTTGAAAACCTTCATTTCAACATATAAACCCACATTGTTTGTCGCCCTTTGCTGTCGTTGAAGCTCATCCCGACCTCACCTCTCCCCAGCGACCAAAACCCTTATAAAACTATGACTGATCGATAATCGATCGATGGTGAATCGATTTTTATACCCTACGAACCCTAGATTGAAAATCGTTATCCCATGCGATTCCGACGACCAATCGACGACAACTAATGGGCGTATGACTAGGAGGACGACAGGGACTACGTCTAGAGATGGGCATGGGACCTGAACCCGATGGGTTCCAACCCGACCCGATTGGGTCGATTTTTTTTAAAAAAATCAGGTTCGGGTCGGTCAGTTTTTTCTAAAAGTGGTGTTCGGGTTGGGTCAGATTTGGGTTTAGGGTAAAAAATACCTAACCTCGAAAAAAATATAATTTTACCTTATATATTTAGGAATAATTACAATAATACCCCTCTCTATATATTATTTTTTTAATTAAATCACTATTTTTATTGAATAAAATAATTTTTTTATTATTATTTTGGGTCGAGTAGGGTTAGGTTCGAATTTTATTTCAAAAAATCTGGCCAGGTTGAGGTCGGCTGGAGCGTATATATTATGAGGGTCGGGTTGGATTTTGGGTGGAGGAGTTATTGTTCTCAAGTAGGTCGGGTAAACCAAAACTCCGACCTAACCCGACCCATGCCCATCCCTAACTATGTTAGTGGCAGTCGTCGTGATCAGAAAGGGTGACAGTGTTGAGTTAGGGTTAGGATTTAGAGATTTTATAGATTATGGGGCTTTTTTATAATTTAAGAGAAATTATATTTTTTATAAATATAATAATATTTTTATTATTTTAAAAATAAATTTCAAATTATCAGATCATGACTTGTGTCACTTAATTGAATAAATTACCGATGTTGATGGTCCGAGCACTTAAGGTGGTGAAAAACACTATAGTTTGGACATTTTATATTTAAGCCTTCATATAAAGATTCTTAGTCATGTTGCTATTAGATTTGTTAATTTACTCAATCAAAATTATCCATTTATTTCATTCTCATTATAGAATATATATAAGACTTTTTATCTTAAGGATGGTTGTAACAATCAGGCCAACTGTATAACAACCCAACTATATTTCTTGTCAGCTCATAACATTCTACAAAAATTTAATATACTAACATCCACCCTACATTATCATGTTCTAACACCTAAAGTATACCTTTAGAGACATTAACATCTTGTCTAAACAAAGTAAACAAAGGCTTGATCAAGGACTTAGTGAGTTCATTTGCTTTTTGATGTTGAGTTAATATATAGCTGACATGAAGACTCTCAGCGATAACTTTCTCCCATACAAAATGAAGATTTATCTTCACATGTATTAAGCTAGCGTGAAAAATAGAATTTATACTCATTGCAAATATACTTGTATTATTATTCCATACAAATGGAGTATCAGCTAAAGAAACCATATATATTTTAACAGAGCTTGTAACCAAAAAACCTTAGAAACAACACCAACAATACTATGATATTCTACCTCCGAGCTAGATCTTGAGATTGATTGTTGCCGATTAGATAAAAAATAAGTTCCCCACAAGATAAACGTAAAACCCAAAAATCGATGATGATCATCGACGTTATTTGCCCAATCAACATCAATAAAACCAACCAACGGAATCGTATGAGGAGGCGACGACAAAAAGTAAATCCATAATCAAGAGTAAAATTAAGATAACGAACAATTTGTTTGACCCCTCGCCAATGATTCACACATGGGTTATGCATGTACCATGCCACTCGATTAACACTAAAAGAGATGTCGGGTCGAGTATGACATAAATAAAGAAGGGAACAAACTATGTTGCGATAATTTTTTGCGTTGTCAAGAAAAATTTCATCATTGCAACCCGTAAGTAAACCCTAAAAATACTCGACATAGAGCCCAACAACAATGAACAAAAAAAAAGACGATGAAATAGTAGTAAGTCAGGGGAGTCGGTCACAGGGAAGCAGCATTCATGCATGAATTAATAAATGGGAGACCAAGCCTTGAAGTTTGAGAAGCAGGTGGCGAATACAATTACTTACAACAGAACTATGTATTTTTACGACTTTGAATGGTACTTTGTGGAATAAAAAAATCCTCATAACACCCACTGTTCTTTTACAATGAAAGGTACACCAGACTTTTCATGGATGCTCTCTGTGCTTGTAATTCAGACTTTTCTTTTCCTTTTACCCTTGCATTTGCAGGTGTCCTTAAAGCCCAGGACCGCACATTTGTCTCTCTTTGTTTTACTTCACTTTTTTTCACTTCTTAAAATGAAGTAGCAGTGAATAGTTTCAGTCTGAGTTTTATCCCTTTTTTTTCCCTGGGATTTACCGGCTTGACTCATGGAAGTACGTACCCTTTATCTTCAAAGAAATTATGTTTGTATTTTTGTGTTACATCATATTTTATAATATAATGTCCTAAGCTAGCGACCTCCTAACAGAAAATTCTCGTTCGTCCCTACAGTCAACTCTCGTAAAGCTAAACATATGTGTTGGTCACAGATAAAACAAAGATTAGAAAACGATAAAACACCCACTTCCCAATTATGCCTCAATTTGATTGACCAACTTTTGCTCATTTCAACCACCACATCATCATTCATTAGCTATTAGTTTGATGAGCTTTACAAGAAATATTAATCAAGTAGCCTAGCCTTCTTACATACCAGCATCTCGGCTGCACCCTGAATTATATTTTCATTACTCTGCCTACGGGAACTCTCTTTCTTTGGTAGATGAGATAAGGGTGGCAATGGCAATGGCAATGGCAATGGCAATATTCTACCTTTCAGTTCTGCAGCAGAAATGGGAGATGTTCGGGTTCAGGTTCATGATCACCATAGGATAATGGTGGTGGACGTGTGTTCAGTTGGGTATTTGAAGTTGGCCTGTAGCAGCTGATGGGGAAGTTATTATGGAAGATGAGAATCCTGATGATGCTGCACTAGGGAAGAGTAGGGCCTTGGATTTGCCATGGTGGGGAATCTACTTCTATCCTCTTGTCTATTGCTCTTTCCTGTAAATAAACAAACAAAATTAAATTGTAAATCATCATATCATAACTGATTTATTGCAGACACTGTTGTTTCGGATTACGAGGTAAGAAATAGTTTTCCTTCAAACTTGTCACTTCTATAATATTTTCATTGCCAGAGGAATTTGGGGACAACCAAAGAGATGTTGAACTTACCCTATAAACTGGAAAGAAAGTTGGATCTGCGACATTCCGGTTTGGGACGTTTTTGAATGCCAATGCTTGGCCAAGACTAGATTGAACCCTCATTGTTACCGGAACAGAGTTCTCAAACTGAAAGGGTAAATATTAGGTGCTTGAGCAACGAAATCCTTCAATCGGAGAACTGAAATAAACTTCTAAGCATGTAATCAACATTACCCTTGCACCACTCGCAACAGGCAGGCCATCATAGCCATGCTGGTAAGCGAAGTTGCTAAAATTTTCGTTATCGTTTTGCGGATCGGATGTACAGGGGGGAGCAATGCCCAAGTTCAGGTCAAGAACTTGATCCTGGCCTGTAACAAGAGGATCAACAATTCCTGATAAACCAAAGCAAAACATAATAGCTTATAAATATATGGAGATCAGGAGATAAGAGATGACAATTCTAGGAACAGAAAGAATACCTCCATTTTCGAATTTCAGGATTAGCTCCCCCTCATATGTGCTTGGCTCGAAGTTGGTAACCGCTTCTCTTCCATTACATTTTATAGCAGCCTTGTCATAAGCCCTGATTTTCAAATAACATGGACAAGTAGCGTTGGTTAAGAAATCAATTGATCATTGGAATTATGAGGGAAAATTGAATTCATAAGGTAAGGACCTTGCAGCTTCTATCTCACTATCGAATAGCCCCAGATATATGTACCTGAAAGAAAGGAATGTACAATAACCCAATCAAAATAGTTAACATGAATCAATTCATTGATGCTTCAACTTCTTAGTTTAATGTCACTACTTAAAACGTATCAACCAATACACTAATACCATTTTTAGACTATGTCTGTTAACGGATTCTGAGAGTTAGTGTTGGATATGGTTATACATCCAACATGGATTTGCTCCACTTTTTTCATCAAGCTTTCATCAGATATTTGGAGAATCATACTAGGGACGGACACAAGACTTTGTGTTAGGTAGGGTGAACTTTATATTTAGTAAAACTATAGTAGCATGTGTCGAAATTATGTCATCAATAGAAAGTATAAAAAAATAACTACATCACATGAAAATTTAAAAATTCTAGATGGCGACCTCGGAAAATCCGAATAAAATTGAAGTTACAAATTTGCAGAGGATTCTTACTTCTTGCCAAGAAGTTGCCCCATTCTAGCTTCCCATCGGCCGCATTTGTGCAATGTAACTCCCCTGTACTTGGAACTTCCTCTTGAAAAACCAGTGCTCTGCCTACGAAGGATATGCACATATTCTTCCTTCGTAAAAGTACTCATCTACAAAACAAAGAGAATAATTGATTTAACTTGTAGTATCATTCTCAAATGCATATATTAAATTTACTAAATCAGACCCAAAATTTCCCAACCTGCTTAATATCATCATCATAATCACCAACGTTAAAATTAATATCCGCATCAGTTCCTCGAAACTTGATTGCAGCTCGATCATATGCTCTGTTAATAACATCCTCAAAACAAAAAACTTTAAACCCCATAATTTTAACAGTTATTCGATAAATTCCTTGACCGATTCGAGAAGAAATCTCACCTTGCTGCAGCATGTGCTGTGTCAAATCCCCCTGTTAAAAAAAAGGAACACCAAGATTATTTTTACAGATTTAAATTTAAAACCCACCATTTTTAAGCTTCAACAAAATGATAATGGTTTACATTCTCACCCAAGTACACTTGTTTCCCACAATCCCTGCATTTTAGAAGGATACAAATATACCAAATGAGAGAATATTAAAAAGGAAACAAGTTTAAAAGGTTAAGAAAAAGGAATCTGTAGTACTGCACATATATGTATGTATGTATGTATGTATGTATGTATGTATGTATGTATGTATGTATATTAACACTAACCAAATATGAGATTCCCAACGTCCGGTTCTACGATAAAACGTGACGCCACGATATTGAGAACTTCTCGAACGGGGACCACGTCGACTCTTCTTCACTCGTTGCCTTTGCTGAACTTGCTGCTGTTGTTGCTGATGAGCTAAGATCCTCTGCCCCACGCCTACTTCTCCGTCCATGTGGTACACCGGAGACTCTAGGGAACCGCCGAGATCCAACCATTTCTTCAGAGACGGTTCCGTTGACTTCCCGTCACCTCCCTCGACGTCGACCGGGAAAAGCGAAATGGTTTCCCGGTTGTGATTCTCTGGTTCTTGTTGGGCCGCTCTGAGGATGCCGAAGGAGAAATCCAAAGTATCAGAGGCAGCCGCGTTGGAGGAGGAGTCATCGTCGCCTCCGGTGGTTGAGGTGTCGGCGTTGACGACGGAGGAACCGAAGCTCCCAGAACTATCCATTTTGTAATTAGTATAATTATTATTACTATTGTAACCGTCTAACCCAAGAAGACCATTATCTCCCGCCACCTCCATCTCCATTATCTTAACTGAATTATCACCACCATCGGAAATAACACTCAAGTTAAGATCCAGTATCATAGCTAAAGCTTAAAAAATATGAAATAGGAAAACAAACAAGGTTTCCAAGGCTTCAGATGTAGAAAAATATGAAGCTATAAGAAGAATAAGGGAAGTGGATATGAAAGGAAAGCTAGAGAGGATTCATTGAAGCTGCTGCTTCAGATGTTTTTGTTTGTGAAGGAAGGTGATCGGAACAACAAAGAGAGAAGAAAAAAAAGAGAGTGAAGGGACCTTCAAAAGGGAACGATGGGACGTATGAGGGGGAAAATAGCTGCCTGTTTTGGCAATTTTATCCAAAAACCAGTTAAACATTATCTTTCAATACAATTTTTTTTTCAAATATTATCGATTAACACCATTTCTGATAAAGTGTTGATCATCTTGTAAAATTTTGTCTGAATTGACATTAAAGTAGAAAAGTACGAATCATAATTTTTGTCTTCGTGGGTTCTATCTGAATTACCATCACGATGATAAAATACTACTTTGCTAGAAATTAAACATGCGGAGATAGACATAGATCATAATTTACACCTTGCATTTAAATTCATATTGTCCTACCTTAAATACCGTCAAACCCTATTTTTCTCACCTATAAATACTCTTCATCCAACACTCATATCACAAAAAAATACTCTATTTATTCTTTTTATATATCGTTCTATCAAATTTTAAGTAATTATAATTATCGTTTTTAAAAGTTAAATTTTTTTATTATATTATAATTATTTAATAGTTTATTATTTTATTATATTTCATTATACTAATTTTTATTGCTTTTTACAGTTATAAAATAGCTGGCTGGTTGCCGCGTTTAGATGAGAATTATATATTGAGTTAATAATTTTAAATTCTGTTATTTTATTTATTGAGAATTTTTTATTCATTCATTTATTTATTTATATTAGTTTATATTTTAATTTATATACTATTTATTTAATTAGGTGAATGATCGTATATTAGATCCATTTATTCGTAAAAGCTAAATTAGAGATACTGAGTCGTATTTACCTGAGGCTGGATTTGATTACATAGTGAAATATGAAGGGCACTGTAGCCTTGAATCCAACATTATTTATGCACTGATTGAGAGGTAGAGACCAGAAACACACAAATTCCATCTTTCGTGTGGGGAGTACACTATTACGTTGGAGGATGTTTCCTTATATTTGGGGCTTTTGGTAGATAGAGATGTTATTTCTAGTTTGGCGGATGGTGATTGATATTTCTTTTGCAAGGAGTATCTTGAAGGTATCCCGTCTAATTTCAACGTTGGTCGAATATCGTTATTATGGTTGGCTAGAAATTTTTTACGGTTGAACGACTATTGTTTTGAGTAACAGACTCAAATAATTGCCCATGCTTGCATATTGCAATTCATATGAGAGATCTCGATGCCCGATAAATCTCGCAACTAAGTTCATTGTATGTGATTACGTCATCTTGTAGATTTTCGAGTTGTCGGCTCATTTAGTTGGGTCTTCGCGATTTTGGTATCTCTGTATAGAGAAATGTGTCGAACAACTGATTATCGAAAAAATACTATCGGCAGATGTCTCATTCTTTTGCAATCATGGGTGTGGTATCACATGCCCTTTTTATGTCTGGTCATGAAAAAACAGTTAGTTTTCCTGTTATTATTGAGGTAATTTCAATATTGAGTTTGTATATAAATAATTCTTTTGAGTATATAATGAATTTTTTTATACTGAATAGGGGATCATCTATAAGGAAAGATCACTGTAATATACCAGACGGATTGGAAAAAATTCGAATGCTCATTAATCAAAAGGCTGGTACAGAGATATGCATTTAAATTTTATTATTTACCTTTAATTATCGTTATATAATTAGAATATTATTTTGATAAGAATTATATATATTTGATTTAGTTTCAATAGACTCATTATTCTACTGAAGAAATGAGGTGTTGCATCCCACCTCACTTGAGTGACACATTAGATGTATGGATGATGGTGGTCCATTTGATATGTTATACTATTGCCAAGTGGCATCCTATTGATCGTGTTTTCAGCCAATTTGGTTTCGTACAATCTATTCCTGAAGCACCTATGAATATTGACAATATGCATAACATCAATAGACGGTGTAAAAAAGAAGTCAACTGGCTGTTGAAGCACAACGAGTGAGTAATGAGCTGGGATGATCGACGTGGATGCATTCCCCGTAGGGACCCGATTGATATGGATCACTATTCGGTTACGGATGACTATTATCAGTGGTTCAACATAAACGAGAAATCGTTCCCACTTTCAGAAGAAGCACGGGGCAAAAGCATTTGTCGTCATCGAGAAAAACGTCCACTTTCACAACATTATCGTCTCTCAACTCATGGACGGAGAGCATACACTTTTGACTCATCCTCAACTACAACACCGGAACCATCACAACATCTATCGGTTTATATTCCGTAGCCATTTCAAATGCCACCGCAGAAAATAATGAAAGCCCAAGAATTTGTATCTTCTCTTTTAACAAGGGCAAAAGCAACTGGAAGAATGTTGCGATTACAATCTTAGACAACTACTAATAACAAAACTTGCTTGTATTTTCCATACAAGAATGCCCCATCAATTTGAAACACGGGATTGCAGTATTTCACAGCATTAATGCATTGTGGGTAAGTCCAAAAAAGTCGATAGAATTGACATCTATCGTGAAGCACTCGATCATTGTGGTATGCATGGCAAGTTTCGAAGTCCACTATATTCCCAGGATTCAGTCTACGCAATACCCTAAACCAACTTGATAGTTCGTTGTAAGATGAATCCCACTTGCCGTAAGTTTTTTAATGACATTTTGTTTTTCCTTCCATGCTTTATTATAGAAGACGATGTACCCATATTGAGACTATATAGATGAAATCAACACTGCAATAGCTATATGGGAGTTGTGCTTTGACCATGGGTATGATGGCTTAGCAGATAATGTTATAGTCCAAGTTGAGATAATCTTGGTTGATCCATCTAACACATCATGTATGAGGACCTTTGTATACAATTAGTTCCCATGTGTTGTTTTTTCTCCTTCTCTTCGATACACGAATCATCCTGTTGCATCTATTATTACGTTGGACACAATAGCAGACATACTTTTCAGTGGTAGATCGATCGACTATGGAGTGAACAGAATTACGAATGTTGTAATTCTTAATTGCAATAATCGCTTCTTCTTTGGATAGAAACTTCATTATGTAGTCACCAATATTAGGCATATTTGTAAATTTTGGCCCGTACATTGCACCATAGTCAGCTTGATACATATGTGCTGGAGGTTCTGTGTGTACCATATTTGCGGGAACTTCTTCTACATCATCATCATCGGAGTCCATATTGAACAATGGTGATTCTTGCTCAACGAATGGTCCAGTCTCAGCACCATTCATACCTGGCTCTTGAAGAGGTTCTTTTGGTAACGATGCGGGTTCCTCTGTGATGCCGATATTTAGGTCGAACAAGCTGGTAGTTGAATGCCTTCCCCTTGAACTTGAAGGCATCGTGTCGTACATGTTTTGAAATGATTGTTGTGTCGTAGGCATCTCTATATTGAGATCGAATAAGCTCGCATTTGAATGTCTCCCATGGAACTTGTAGGCATCGTGTTAAATAGGTATTGAATAGATTGTTGTGTCGAGGGCATCCCCATATTCAGGTCAAAGAAATTGGCAGATGAATGCCTTCCCCTTGAACTGAAAATGATATTGCCATACGGATTGTTCATGGAGCCACCTCGGTGGAAATCGTAACAAATTGCTGATAAATGTCTCCCAATTGAAATTGATGGGATGATACCAGGATGTTGATTTCCCATTAACGAGTCCAAAACATTACACATTACTTGAGTTGGGTTGTCAACTTGATCATCTTGTTGAGCCAACCCATAGTGGGAGCATGTTAGGATTTTCGGAAGCTCGAATCGACAACCGGAACGGTTTGCAAAGAGGGGTCGGAACGGTTTTGTGTTTAGGGAGTAAGGAGATTAAAAGATAGAGAATTGCACAACGATTTATAGTGGTTCGACTTTCTCAATCAAAGTCTACGTCCACTACCTTAGCTCCTCACCAAGGATTTTCTAACAAATTCACTAATTTGTTCTTTCTTTTGAGGATAAAGAGTAACCTTACAAACTCCCTAGTTTTTTCGGGCTAAACTAGAACCTTTCCCTAGCTTTTACACGGGATTAGCTAGAACCTTTCCCCTTTACAAAAGGATAAGAAATGTAAACAAGAAAACCTCTCTAAGGTAGGTGTTTACAAGATTGAGCTCACAAGAACAAAATATATACAAGAGAAAGATGAAATAAGAATGAAAAACTCTTCTCTTGTGTTTGATTGCTTGGATAGTTGTTCTTTTTCTTCTTCAAGTGTCCTTAGTTTGTATTTATAGCTTGGAATGTGTTTGAAGTCATATCTAGCCGTTGGGGATGTTTTGGAGCCGTTTGGGAATGATTTTTCTGCAAAAATATGCTGCCCAGAATGGGGGGAATCGGTACCCCTTCATAGGGAATTGATACCCCTTCATAATATTCAAATATTATGACCGTTGGGCTGATGAACAGTGAGGGAATCGGTACCCCCTTGGGGGGAATCAGTTCCCTCCGAGCCTACTGGAATTTCTCGGAGCCAAACCATTCAGGGGGGAATTTGTACCCCCTGGGGAGAATCTGTTCCCGGGGAATCGATACCCCCTGGGGGGGAATCTGTTCCCCCTAGGCGATCTGATTTTTCTTGAAACCCTTTAAAAAGAAAATATTTTTGGCTCGATTAAGGCTCGAAATACTTTGTAAAATTGTTTTAAAATAGTTTAAGTATAAAACACAATTTTACACTTTAGTAAGGATTAAAATGAACTTTGAAAGACTTGGAGTAATATTTTGATATTCGAATAATTACATCGAATATACTTAGAAAATCTTTTGCAAAATCTTAAAATTCATTTAACTTAATTTGTTATATCAAAACATCAAAATGTTTTCAACAATCTCCCCCTTTTTGATATAACAAAACATTTGAGTAATTTTAAGATTTTGAAATAAAGTTTGAAATTACTCCCCCTTACTTTAATACTTCTCCCCTTTAACACCTTAACACTTCTCCCCCCTTTTGTTAAATCAAAAAGACTCTAATCTTTGAAGTTCAAAATAACTTTGGAGAGTA